AAGGGGTCTCCAGGAGCTATTCATCCGGTTCCCCATCTCCAGGCAAAGTGGTGGCTAACCTACAGTAGGTGCCTGAAATTTCAGTGTTAATGTAACTTGCCCAGAATTGCGTGCTTCCCCAAGCTGCCACTGGCTTACCAGTCCAATGAAAATAACTATGGCACTGACCTTGTCATCATTCTTTTCCTAGATCTCCCTTGGGTACTCAAGACTGCTCAAAACTGAATGCTGAGACTATCAAAAATAAAAGTGTGAACTTCAGGATAGATCTGACCTGAAAGCAAAGCCTGTGTTTGGCTTCATATAGCTGGAGAAAACTCTTTGCCTGTTATCTGAGGTTGACAGTGGTTTGAGTTGCTACTTTTAGAAGAACCACTATGTTCACCCCTAGAAAAAAAGAATTCCAGGGCCATGGCACAGCTGGGAAAGCTGATCTCAGCTGCTCAGCATGCACATTGTGGGATCATTGGCTTTTTGAAACTTGTTTTGAGCCTGACCAATCAACATCACCTCCAATGGAAGAAGCCTCCTTGATTCAATCTTCAGAAAAATAAAGTCCATATCGACACAGGGCAGTCAGCCTTAGGACCCCTTTCTCACCTCACTAAATGTCGATTGCCCTGTGTCAGTGTAGACTTCTTTGTTTTTGAAGATTGAACTGAGGAGGCTCCATGATTAATTCAAATAATCAAGAGGCTTTTTACTTTTCATTTGATTTTAGCGTTTCGTTGTCATTTTAGGTACAAATCAAAGACACATGGAGCAACATAAGACAATGCACTTGTTTTCTCATCAGTCATTTCCTCTGGGTTGCAAGAAAAACAAAAACAAAAACTTTGAGTGAGCCAAATTTGAGGGTAGAGGAGATGAGCCAAATTTGAGTCTATATTTCTGAAGAATTCTCTGTAATTCTATAAAAGCAAAGAGTACACACATCATCCTTGTGTTCACATTAAGAAATAATAATTTTAAAATGTGCCAAATGTATTTTAAACTGTTTTCTTTCCTTTTCTTTTTTTCTGTACCAGAAATCAAACTCAGGACTTTGCGCTTGCCAGGCAAGCACTTTGCCACTGGGCTATATCCTCAGCCCTTTAAACAGTTTTCTTCTTTTTAATCATGTGTTTTATCCAAAGAATGCTAATGCTTTTTGGTACAGTAGTCTGATGCTTAAGAAAAAGAAGAAACAGTACAGGATGTGATTGTAGTACATTAATCCTTCACCCTGAGCAGGTATCAACTAATCACAACTCCAACTTAGAAGATTACCCAAGAGCATTTTCTCTGCATTGCATTCTATATGTTGCATAGTCATGAATGACAGTTTCAATAGCTGCTAGTAAACAGATGTTTCCTTTATTGAGAGAACAAATGGGGGGGGGACTGTAGATAATATCTGAGCTAATCATTGAGCTGTTCAGCCTCCTCATCTATGTGCCCTGGCTTGTCTCACCCATAAAACAAGGGGGAATGCTGCTTATCTCACCCAGAAAGCATGCAGCCTTTAGAACTGGATTTCTCTGCACACCCTGTAAACAAGCGGATAAATATCTTGTTACATGTGCTACAAAGAGATGGGGAAAATGATCATAATTTCATTCCCTGTCACTAGCAATAATCAGCTTTTCACATCTACACTGAGTGTGTCCCCAACAGCTCACGGGTGTACTAAGGAATCCGGATGTTTGTGACCACACATTCCTGGGAAGCAGCAGTTCTAACAGCCAGTGACCCAGCTATTCCCTCCAGTTGCTTTGTGCATAGACATTTTGTTTTCCCAACTCTTCACCATGTGCTAATGATTAGATGGTGACTCCATAAATAAGGAGAAAAGGCAGTGTCATGGGTGGTGGGTGGTTTGTTTTCTTACTTTTTTTGAAAACATATGGAGATGTTTATATATAAATAGAAAACAAGAGAACACTGCCATCATGTCAGCAGCAGCTAATACAGCCACACATGAATGGAAATCAAACATATCTCTACTTCAGAATTCTGGGTTACTGAGATCTACACATCTGGTCTTATTTGATTTGAAAAGATATTTTATTGTTTTAAGTTTTTTATTCCTAGTTGGGAGGAAATTCTAGAGCAAGAATTTTGTTTTGGTTTGGTTTTTACTACTTTCATTGTGAAATTATTCTATCCAAATAGATCTCATTTATAATCATGAAAGATCCTTTTAAAAATCTGTGTATTTGTTGAACTGGACTCTCAGTGTTTCTGACTTGTGGTTGGGAGATTAGAAGCCTCAGGAGACAGAGTCTTGGAGGATGGAGAACACAGGCCAGCAGAGTCAGACCTCTAGGTATGAGTTTTGATTGTACCACTTGCTAGCTAGGTAACCTAAGGAAAAAATTTGGTAACCTGACGAAACATCAGTGGCTGCTCTGTGAAATGAGAAATACAACTGCATTTATCTTGACAGTTCATGGGATGAGCTGCAAGACATTCGTGCAGTGTCTGCCTTGTAGGAAGCACCACAAAAATGCTACCTGCTTTACAATGCAGTTTCTCATAACTCCATGAGCTGGAACCCTTATTGTTCCTTGTCATGGAGGAAGAAACTGAGAGATTATATAGTGTCCAAAGTCATACAGCTAAATATTGGTTAACATGAGGATCTGAACCAGTCTGGGTAATTCCAAAGTTCCTACACTGCCTTCTTCTGCTAAAATGCTACCATAAATACAGCCTGCAGCACCTTTGAAAGCTCCTGCATTTATATTACTCCCTGTGATACCATCCTGTGATATGCACAGTGGCATGCCCAAACTGTGATATTCTGTATCCCTAAGAATTTGTTCATTTGCAGTTAAGGAAGGCCAGGAAGCACTTAATGAATATGTTGTTAGAAGTCCTGGTAAGTTTGATTCATGCAACCACTTTGACTTTGGTCTACACAGCCCTTTTCTTTAAAGTTTGTAGAAGACCCCTATGTACAGGTTCATTATTCCAGCTTAGAAGAGAGCTTTTGTCCCAGCTTGAAGTTGAAGAATCCAAGGGCTAAGGTTACATAATTTGGGGAGACAAGGAGAGGACAGTCACCACCCTCTTTTGTAGCCCAGAGTGTCAGTCACCGTGTCAGGAACAGACTGTGTCCACCTCACCAAGCTGCTCATTAGTGTTGGGTCTGGCAGCTAAACTGCTAACTGGGTCCACTTTTAACCTAAATAGTACATAATTAGGAGCACTTTGTCTGGAAACATGGAATCTGCCTGCAGTCTGAGACTCTTCACATACAAGGTGGCCCAATTTTGCGTTCATTTGCAAGATATATTGTGATTTTTCTTTTCTCCTTTTTGCAAGGGAGGCAGTTTCAGCAAGGCCTACAAGAGAAGAGGACAAGGAGTGTCAAATTACACATCCACCTGTGGACCTCACAGCAGCATGTAGTTAAATGAGCTCTGAATATAGGACATGAATGCAAGTCTTTTGCATACTGTTAACTCTAATGATGGTAGCATAATGCAGAAGTCACAGCTGAACACTGAGGTGGTCCTTTTATTAATAATATCTTGAGTCTTTTGCAAAAATTCCTTAGAACGGAAAGTGGAAATCTGAGCAGGCTTCTGCTTTGTGAACCTTCTCGTCATTAACAGATAAGGAAAATGATTAAGGTGCCCCTGACCTTAAATTCAGTCCTGTGAGTGCTGGTGGCATCCTCTCTGACCATCACGGCTGGCCTTGCCTTTGCAGCATGAGTATATTTCCACAATGAATGTTAGGAAATCACTGTAAAATGGAATCCACTTTAGGAAAAATTACTTATGCAACCCTCCAATTGTCATGTAAGTGAAAAATCATTGTAATACAGGACAAGTGTTACTCATCTCACCCCAGGTGCATGTTAGCAATGACAGTGTGTTGTTTGGACCAATAGGATTTCAGAGCCAGCACTACCATTTGCCAGCTGTATGGCTTTGAGCAAATCACTTGACTTTTCTGATCCTCAATTCCTTTCCTATAAAAACATATCAACAATAAAGCTGCTTTGTCTAGTTTATGGGTTGTCAAAGAAGAAAAAAGGAGATTACAAATATGAAAGCGCTCTAGAAGCACTGTATCAATGTTATTATTGATTTGTACTAGATGAGTAATGAGGACTGAATAGCAGCACTGTCCAGATAGTCTGGGAATAAGTCAACAAGGGTGGCAGCTGATCAGCCTTGGAGAACGAGCTGGCTTCTGAGCCACAGAGGGCCTGGCCAGCTTGATGAGCCTTAAACTTGCAAGTCAAGGCTGGGCAACAATTTGGCTGGCTTTTCCACATGGCCTGTGATGTTTTAAGCTCCTGCAGCCACAGTCCTGGCTACACAAAATCATTGTGTGTTTGCTCACCAGACTTTACTTGGAAAGAGTTTACAAATTGGCAGCCTGGCAGAGATCAGAGTGCTGTGGTTTTACACTGGGGAGAACAGTGTTTCATGCTTTCTTCGATTATACCCTCCTTGGGGATTAGATGGATGGAATAACAACAAACCAGAAAGCAAAGGCAAACCTGTCAGTTCGATGCCTGTTAGCTATAGCAGAACTCACAATTAAACTAAGATAGGGATCTCTTCTCAAGAAAGAGGTGCAGAAATAAGTCCACAGAGCATAACTTCTTTATTTGAGCATGGCTAACACTCCAGATCCCTGCCATAAAGAAGATTTGTACTATAAGACGCTTCAGAAGGTACATAGTATACAGTAGATGCTTAAGAAAATTGATTGAAAAAATATTATTACTAGTAGAAATAATTGAGCAGTCTTACTGTACTTTTTAAAATCTTTTTCAGTCAACTGTTGAGTTTGGCAAATTCCAGGATGAGTAATTGTGCACCTCTGAACCATGAGGTAACAGGCCAACCAAGATCCTAAATCAGGCAGAGCAGCATGGATTTGGGGAGCAACTTGTGTAGAGATGCGATAGTTAGCTGTTACTGTTTGATAGTTCCCAAGAAGAAAGCATAGAAGTAACAGATATGAACTAAGCACTCTTTTTTTCTTTTGCTTAGGTAAATATTTCCAACTACAGTCTGGTGATGGAGTCTGACTCAGGCTTATTCCTGCCCACTGGGCTGCAGTTTACTGGCAGTGAGAAGGCCAGATCCATCATGGAGGAGGTCATGAGCCTGCTGCAGCCCCTCAACATCACTCAAGTCTTCAGGGGTGCAGATGGGGCAGACATCAACTTCTGGATCCAAGCTGGAGTACCAGGTAAGACTGAAAGGTGAAACAGATGCTCCTCGTGAACCACCATTGAAATAGCTGTTCCCAGTATACGGCGACATGGCACAACGGCCTGATAGGCCAGTGAGGCATGGAAACCCGAAGCATTTGGCTTTAACACAAAATTACCTGATGATTTCCAAAACTGGGATAATGGTGCTCATCTTGTATTTGCTTATCCATCTGCCTTTTCATTTTAAATTGTATCCCCTTACTCATAGAGATTCTGATCTAACAATCCTAGGATTTGGTCTAAAAATCTTTTTTTTTTATTACTTAAAGAGAATAAAATCAAACAAAATGAAACAGAGCAAAGCCAATTAAAATAAAGCAATGAGATCAGTACAAGACTTTAAAACATGATAATAGGAAATCAACAATGGCTCCCATAATACCTCATGTTATCTTCAGCTGCCCATACCATGAGGCATAATAAGATCAAACAAAACAGAACAGAATAAAACCAGTCAAAACAAAACAATGTAAGTGAAACAGGATTGCAAAACAAGATAATAGGGAATCAACAATGACTACTCTAAGATATCTTGTGGTCTCCAAAATAGCTGCCCATACCATCAGACATAATATAATCTAACAAAACAAAACAATGAAACCAAACCAGACACAACAATGAAAATGATACGGGGACTTCAAAACAAGGTAATAAGAAATGAACAATGGCTGCCACCTTCTCTTTTAGATGTTTCCTCCCCTTTCACTTTCACAATATCCATTGTACATTTTGAATTCCACTAACTCATTCAGCTTTTTATACAGAAAGACAACACAATGTGTATTTGTTTTGTTTTTAATGAGATATTTGTGCAGCTCAGTGGTCTCATCACCAAAGTTTCAGAATTATAGCAGAAGGCAATTACTACTACTAACATCCTTCTACTTCTAGTCCTGGGCCAAGAAACCATCATTGACCCAAATACTGCAGTATCTAAAATTTTACCATCACAGGTTTATTCCTTCAGGTTGGGTTGCTTCCTGCTAATTGTATTTTTCTTTAATGTGAAGACTTCTGTTAAGAGTTTGGATACCAACTGGCCTGCCCTGATTAGTGATTTGGCATGTGGATATCTTGAAGAGAAGTCCCAAGCCCTTGGGAACAGGAATGCAATTATGAAATGGGAGTGGACTTGGGGAGGTAACGGGAATGGAAGCAGAAAAGTCTTACAGAAGACAAACACAAACGGCTTTGTGCTTTTGCCCAGGATAGACATGAAACAGGAGGATAGTAAGTACCTGCAACTTAGACGTTGTTTCTGCAACACCATTATATCCATAGTCAAAAAATGGTACAAATACCCATTACAAATTTTTCTGTACTTATATTATACAAACAGCCTTTGAACAGTTTTAAAAATTTTTTTTTGTCTTTTTCTTTTTAACATTACTGTTTTTGTGACTCTTTCTATGGCTACAAAATTATGCTTATAAAAAGTGTCTCCAAGTCCACTGCACACAAGCTTGCTTTTTGCCTTCCTGCAAAATGAATTTTATCAATAGCGTAGAATACTACATGAATTTAAGTTTTTTGTGTGTCTTTTTCCTTTTTATCGGTACCGGCCATCGAACTCATGACCACCTGCTTGCAAGGCAGGTGCTTATGCCACTGAGCTAAACCCCCAGCTCCAAGATTTTTTTCTTAAGACACTATGTTTTAAAGGGATATTTTAGGGCTTAAAGTTTATAATAATTTTTCAAAACCAAAAATAGAAGCCTTTTATTGTAATAAAATGATCCAAATTGACTGTTTATTCTGTACATATTTAAACCATATTTTAAAATTCTCTTCAAGCAACATTTCCATTGACAATGGTGTTATCCCTAAACAGATCCAATACACTTATACCTAAGTGGCATCAATAAACATGATTGAAATTTAGAGAAGAGAGTTTGCCCTTTAAGGTGTACAGAATCATTTGTTTGAAATTTAAAATTATTTCTGAGCCTTGAATTCTTAAAATTTGAGAATCCCTTAGTAAGCCACTGGGCTGTAGGTGTGAGGAAAGGATTGGTAGATCAGGAGTTACAGGGCTGGTCAAAGAGGAAACAACGAGGAACTGAAACTTATGATACATCGGGACAAAAAAGCTTGTATCTGCCTGAACTGGTGTCGCTTAGTTCTTTATGTTTGACCATGAAGATTGGCCCGAGCTTTATTCCTTCACATGTACAAGTTCTATAACGATGGCTCTTACAGAATGAGCAGGTTGATTTGACTGTCTGCAGCTATAATCAGGAGGTCTTTTCCATCTCAGCCACAGTGAGATCAGATTTGATTCTACCTAATGGAGTGCAGACGAGTGTCTGAGTCTATCATGGTTGCTTGGGAATTAATAGCTTATAATTTATTGAACTCCCACTATTTGTAAGGTATTTCTTTAAGCTTTTGCCCAGATGTGGTCTTTTAATCTGTACAATCATCCTATGACCTAGATATGATTATCCTTTCACATGAAGAAACAGACTCAGGGGATAAATAACTTGCACAAGGCTGCATATCTCTAAGGGTCTGAGCCTCCCCTGAGAGCAAGCCCCGTTAGTGTCAAAGTTGGTGGCCTTTTTTCCCACAATATGCAGCAAGTCAGGGCAGTCTGGAATGCTGAGATGGTCTTTCAAATCCCTGGCAGCATCTAAAATGTTTACATTACTCAGCTCTTGCTTATGCAAAGCATTCCAGTTCATTCTTGCTCCAAAATTATTCACCTCTGGGAGAAAGGAGTTTGTTATTGTAAATAAGTAATTATTTCTTTTTACATTCTTTGTTCTACCCCTCTCTATTTCTTTGGAGATCAGAAATGTTTATAGACCTTCAGTAGTTCATTTAGACAACTAGGAATATTTCCTAGAGTTATTTTTAAATGTTTTGTACAAAATTTGCAGATTTCTCACCATGACTGTTAAGCTGGCTTTTGATATTTCAAATGTGAACTCGTCCTGGAGAAAACAAAAGAACTGCTCATATTTTAACTCGTGTTATGTATTTAAAATTTTGAGAACTTAGAAAAAAAAAACAAAAAAATCATAATTTGTCCAAAGAAGGAAATAAAACATATCAGTTATATGCTCTATTCTTAAAAATCTGGCAAATGAAAAGAACCTAAATCTAAAAACATTAAAAATATTACTTAAGTTTTACTTTAAGTAACTTCGTACCTAACTTTCAAAAAGTGAATGAGAAGTTGTGTTTCCAGATTCTTTTTTCTTTCTCCTTTTCTTTCACTTCTCTACTGATTTAACAAACATTCACTGAGCCCCTAGCATGTTCTAAACATATTAAATTTCTATAATCTGAGGTGATCCTGTGATGCCTGGGCCCCTTGTTTATGTATGCAGAATACCAAAATACTAGTGAAGAGCACAGATAAAAGTAAAATCCAACATGATTTTACTATTAGTAGAAGACTAAGCAATCCATTTGTGAGAGGATCATTTTAGGGAGAGGAGAGAAGAAGCCCTGCACCCTCTAGATGAAATCGAGATTTCACTTATTCCATTGGATAGTGATAAACATAAATAGAAGTACTCTGAAGAAAACGCAGTTTTAAAAAGCATCTTGGGTGTGCTTTCCATGTATACACCACGTTCTAAATGGTGATACGCCAGCCACCTCCACGTGCCACCTCCTTCCATGCAGCTGCTTTTCCCTCCAATCCCCAATTCCTGGGGGACTGCTTTTTAAGGGACACTGCACTCACTGCGTTTATGAACCCTTGGCCTCCCTACAGTGCTCTTCTGCTTTTCTTAATTCCCAGATCATTTCTAGTCCTTAATCCCAGACTCTAGGGCTGTGAATTGCACATATGACATAGTTCTTGGATTATTACTTTACGTGCCTCCCACCCTCCGTGGTCATTGATCAGTTTTATGAGTTTAAAGTCTATAATACTTACCAATTTACCTCTGTCTTTCAAGGCCTTTAATTCAGTCTGGGGAAATTTTTTTTTTTCATTCTTAAGACAAGAAACAAAAACACTGAAAACAATTATTTTCTTGACAAAATCTTGGTGACTTGTATGTGAAAAAATAAAGGATATTAAGAAAAGAGCCCCTGAAGAAGGGGCTGGAGATTTAGCTCAGCAGCATCAGTGCCTGCCTTCAAGCAGGCAGTCGTGAGTTCGATCCCTGGTACCAAAAAAAAGGAAAAAGACCAAAAAACAAAATAAAAAAAAAAGAGCCCCTGAAGAAGACCTTTAAATACTTGAAGGGGAAAATTAATGATTTTACTACCAAAATAGTGAATAGTTACTTTCTGAGGCTCTGAGTTATTCTCTCAGTATAATAATAAGTTAAAGTAGCCTTAGAGGGACTTCAGATAGCCTCTATGCAGATAGTGGACAGAGTATAAATCTTAAGGTTTTGTTTTTGTTTGTTTTGTTTTGTTTTTTGCTGCATCCTCCAGGTTAGAATGAGAGAAGTCAGTTCATGATAGGTCAGTACTGAGCTATAGTATAGGGTTCTCAGATGTCCCTAAACACATCTTGTTGAACATCTTTTTTTAAGAAAGTCTTCCACAAAATATATACTAATGAAAAACTTAGATACCCTCTTAGCCTAAAAGAATGATCCTACTCTTACTCCACATCTGCCAATGCGAATTTCTTCCTTCATTTCAGAATCCAGGATGAAACACTTTTCCAATGTGTTGGTTTGTTACAGACAGTGGGCTTGGCAGAATCAGAGGCCGGAGTGTATGCTCTGGCTTCACCATCTCTAACCATGTGCAATGATATATTTTTTCCTTCTAAGTCTCCCTTATTTATTATAAAGCCACCTGAATCAGTAGTAGAGAAATAGACAAGAACCGTGTCACACTGATGACACAGTGAGACGTGGCTATCTCAACCGTGAACCCCAAGTCATCATTTCCACCAAGTATTTTCATGTGTCCTCCTCCTGTTCTGTTCCTTGTCTCATCAACCATGATCCAAAAACCTTCACCATAATCTACGACATGGTTTCTAAGCCCTGTTAAC